AAAAATCTAACATTTAAACAGATTTTGATCAAAATATTAAGGATATTATTATACAAGTATGAAAATTTTTAATTTAAATACAACACTGTAATTAAATATAAAAAAGAAAATTATTTAACATCAGAGAAGGTTATTTTATGAGATTCATTTCCATTGTGTCAAGTTTTCTGGCTGTGAATGTATCTCAGAGTCTGCTTTAATATTATTAGTCAATTTGGAAAAAGAAAACTACCCGTGATATACTTGTTGCAGATTTGAATAAACCCACAACAAATAAAAGGGGTGAGAATAGTTTTTAAATATAAAATATGTTTATTTTTGTATTTTTACAACTAATTTTTTCTCAATGTTTATGACTATTAAAATTCCTTGTTTGTATTTGTTTGTTGAGATGAAAAGAAATGTGATTTCTTCACATGCATGTATGAAAAAGAGGAGGAAAGTGTAAGTGTCAGATAGGTTGGTAAATAGGACAGGTGAATGAATAAGGGAATCTCTTTAGAGCCATGCACATCGTATGTTGTCATTCCTTACTGTTTTGTCTGGTCTAGAAACTTTGCTTAAATACTCTTCAAAGGGATCGCAAGGAATGTTTTTTTATTGTCGGAGCTAATGTGACATATTGGTTGAAAATGCTAAATATTTATTTTCAAAGGATTAATTTATTAATTAATTAATTTATTAACTGGAAGGAGTAACAGAAACTATTTTTGGTCATTTGATGATTGACTGTCTTGGTGTTTATTTCCACCTTTGCTCCAGATACTCACATCAGTAGCAATTTGTAATGACAACAGAATAAATCTAAAAAGTATCTACCAGTCTTTGATATTTCATTAATGTTGCCCATTTCATTCGTTCATGCAATTAGATCTGGCGAGACCCATCCCTCTCCAGATCAGACTACAGCCAATGTCCTCCAACTTGAAGGTTTTGTTAATGCCACTGTTGATTACACTGGAGGAATCCTACACCCTGTCCACTGACTTGGAAACCATCCCCCTCAGTGATGCTGTATCATCTCTACCCTGGATATAATGATACTGCCAGTAGTTCAGCCCCATGAGCAGATTTAGTCTGCAGCAGCAGAAGGAACTAAAATGTTAAGAGTCTCAGCCTGTTCTGTAACTCTATAACCATTGAACTGATGATGATGATGACAAATTTCATGATCACTCTTCACTGAAACTGTTAGGTTCAAAGTGAAAAAAATGACTTGTGAAGTAATTTTTCTTTTCAATTTATTTATCCAACTAAATTATATTATTCTGAGATTTTCAGTTCTTTTCTAATTAAATACCATTATCACATTGAAACACCAGTTCTCATACAATGACTCAAATTAAGCAATGTTAAACCTGGTCAGGTGATTTAAGCTTGGATGTGCAGGTGGTGTAATGGATAATAGCTCAGAAGTGAAAATCAGAGAGCCAAGTTCCAATTCCAGTCTAGTTTTTTTATATTTATTTATACACATATCCCCTTGTAAAAGTTATGAATCCACATTTTTACCTCTGTCCAAGCTATTAGTTAATTAGTAGAACTTGTATCAGTAGATCATTATCTCTAAAAATTCTTACAATCTAAAAATATTTTCTGGTTTTAAATAAGCAGCAAAAGCCATAAAAAAACAAATAAATACTATTAGGAAACTTAGCATTTCTATTTTCTGTTAAAAACAAGCAAAAATAAAAAATAAAAAATTGAGATTTGTAATAAGTTTTAAGTTTTCTGATACTAAGGCCTGAAAGTTGTTTTATGACTGTCTTGAATCTAGTTGTGAACTTTGAATTAATAATTTAGCAAAGTAAATTTGTAAAAAGATTATTGCAAATTGAACTTGAAAGAAAAAATATTGATTTATAATTTATCTATATTTTAAAATTAGGAAAAAATATAAGGAATAACAATAGAAAATTCTCATTTAGCTTTAAATGTGAAATTTTAAGTAATAAAGAGTGGATTAATTAATAATCACTAATAATGATTATGAATTAAATATTAGTAATAATTTTTAAAAAAGTGGAGTTGGCCTAATTGTTAACACTACAGGAAAGGGAATCATTGAACCAAATTCAAATTCCATCCAAAATAATCTGTTCTTTTTGGATAGATACATTTCGGAAAGGCATGAATCTATTCTTACCAATAGGCATAGTCAGGGATTACTCACTGTTGCTTGTACCATATAATGTAGTACAAACTATTAATTGTTTGAAGAGGAGATAGGAGCTGCTAAATAATTAGATTGTTAAAAAAGAAATATTAGCCATAAAAGATGACAATGTATAAAGCTATTTTATGGAAACTGGTCTAGTAAAGGAAAAGAAGAAGAAAGGACTAACTATCAATTATAAGAAGACAATGTATAGTTGTCAGCAAGAAGAAAAGCCCAAATTGCAAACTATCAATTGGAGATGGCAAAATCAAACAAGTACAGAAGATTTACAAGAACATCAAATTTACAAAAGTAATCTTATTATGAAAAATAAAATCATTATCTATAAATTAATGATATATAAAAGTTAATAACATTTTTTGATATACTATCTCAAACCGGTACATCAAATTATATGAGACAGATTCAAAGATCTACCAGGTGATAAGTAGGCAGGTGACATATCAATATGTCAGTGTATTGCTGTTGAAATATTTAGTTAAAATTAAGTCTGGAATATTAACTTTGGTTTTCTGAGATTTTTTTTTTTTTTACTTTTTATGTTTGTTGGATATACCAAAATCAAGCAAGTATACAAATTTAAATATCTGGGAAATGTTTAAAATGTGATATGAAAATGCAAAGGTGAACTGGAATAGCAAAAGTTGCCTTTCCAAAGTTAAATAAAGTATTAAGAAACAGGAAAATTTAATTAGAAAACACAGACAAAGAGTGATAGTGGAACAGATTGCTAATAAGATGCTTTGTGATACTATGGACAACCACATAGTAAGAGGAAGAGGTGGTTTTATCTTGACCTCAAGTATTTCTGTTTGATGGACCAGCAGATAATTCCTTTTCAAGTTTGGTCTTCTGAGTGGTATCCACTTTAACTGAAGGGTAACACAGAAATAAAGGCATGTATGAGGGGGTTTTTAGCAATCAAAGCGCAACAAAACCCAAAATAGGGTATATCTGGGTGCTGGTCTAGGGTTAAACCATCATGCCTGAGACTGCACAAAATGCTGGTCCACCCATGTCACAGTTTCAAAGCATCCATTTAATATTACCAGTCACTGATTCAGGATGAGTAGATGGTTGTGGTAGGGGGACAACTGACATAGCAGAAGTTGTCCCAAGGATCACATACCTGCCCACCCTGACAAGCAGATGAACCCCTTAATAAAACACCTACAAGGGTTTTCATTCTTATTTTTCAACATGCTGTTTCTTTCATCGGGTTACCTTGTGAGTAGGCGACATACTCTTCCCCAGCTTTCCATGCATATTGATGGGATCAAGGATTGAAATGCAACATGGGCAGGGGGTGGTGATCATTGATTGGTCAGTGCAAGACCTGGGCAAGGGCCATGTTATATGTCTATAGCTTCCCTGATCACTACAATCTCAATCTCTTAAGGTTTCTCATCAAATGTTATCTATCCTACATATCCTCATAACTTACTTTCTCTTCCTTATGACTATACAACCACCTTTTTCCATACGGATGACTGTTACACCATCCACACATAGGGAAACTTATGCGGACATGAATCAATGGATACATAATCATTTGAAAAATTTTCCCTTGTTAAGTTTCACAAAAAAATCTAACTTTATGTGAGTTTGCAAAATATTTCTTATTTTTGGCTCATTAAAAGTTCATTCCGTATTTGAAACGTTCTCTAACATTTTCTGCTGACATGAAGTTGAAAGACTATCTCAAATCAATTTCTAAGTCTGCTGCTAGAAAAGTTGGTTCATGGTGTCATGCTAGACAATTTTTCTTGCCAGAATCTAACTTACATATTTATAAGTCGAGCATTCATCCATTCTTTCAATAATGCTGCCACATCTGGTCTGGTGCTCATGCTAAGATACTTGATAATATCCAATAAAGAATCTACAATGTCATTGGTCCTGACATCTCGGCTTCAGTTAACTTCCCACTGCTGTAATGTAGCTTGCTTGTGCCTTTTCTATAAATACTTTCATGGTAATTGTTCAGATGAACTTTCCTTTATGGTACCTAGACTGATGGTAAGATCTCATCATTTTACAGTTGAAATAGCTAAATGTAACCATAAGTTCTATGCTAAGGGATCCTTCTATCACACTTCTCACTTGTGGAACTCTCTTCTGGCTTCTTGCTTCCTGGTCAACTGTAATCTTTAAAAAATTTAAAGTTATCTTCTTTTTAATTCTTAATCTTTTATTGTTCTCTCCTTAATAGTGTTTTTTTTTCTCAATCTCTAACACTCAGTAACCACTTGAGTCTTAGTGGCTTTGTTGTCTTGCTTGTAGTGAAATGATTGAAATTAAAAAAGAGAAATTAATCATTTTATAGCAATTTAAAAACATGAAAGAATCTATGGTATATTCTTGTATTGTTTTATACAATTAAAACACCCTGAGGTTCAATATATTTATTCCAAAATGTAAAAATCAGTTTTTCTCACTTATACAATTTGAAATAAAACTTGTTTAAAAGAAAAATCAATCAGGACTGATATTAAAAATCTGTATAAATGTTCAATTATAAAATAAAAAGATCATTAATTTCCTCAAGATTTGATGGAATTTAAACTTTTTTAAATTATTTCTTTTCTGTTGAATGTTTTTATTGATTATAAATAAAAAAAAAAAACAACAAAATTAGAAAATTAATATAAAAGCTTCTACATGTGTGTAACTGTCAATAAAAAATACATTCATTGATGAATAAAATATGAGAAAGAGAGTGACAAATAGAATTTGATCAGAGGAGAAAGCGAGAGAGGGAGAGAGGGAGACAGCGAGAGAAAAAGAAAAAATGAGAAAGTGAGAGTGGGTGGGAGATAGACTATGTGAGAGAGAGACAGGAGAGGGATAGAACGTGGAAGAGAGAGAGAGAGGAGAGGGATAGAACGTGGAAGAGAGAGAGAGAGGAGAGGGATAGAACGTGGAAGAGAAAGAGAGAGGAGAAGGATAGAACGTGGAAGAGAGAGAGAGAGGAGATAGAATAGGAAGAGAGAGAGAGAGAGAGGAGAGAACGTGGAAGAGAAGAGAGAGAGAGGAGAGGGATAGAACGTGGAAGAGAGAGAGAGAGGAGAGGGATAGAACGTGGAAGAGAGAGAGAGAGGAGAGGGATACGTGGAAGAGAGAGAGAGGAGAAGGATAGAACGTGGAAGAGAGAGAGGGAGGGATAGAACGTGGAAGAGAGAGAGAGGATAGAACGTGGAAGAGAAAGAGAGAGGAGAGGGATAGAACGTGGAAGAGAGAGAGAGAGGAGAAGGATAGAACGTGGAAGAGAGAGAGAGAGGAGAGGGATAGAACGTGGAAGAGAAAGAGAGAGGAGAATGATAGAACATGGAAGAGAGAGAGAGAGAGGGATGAGAACGTGGAAGAGAGAGAGAGAGGAGGATGGAACGTGGAAGAGAAAGAGAGAGGAGATGGAGAACGTGGAAGAGAGAGAGGGAGAGGGATAGAATGTGGAAGAGAGAGAGAGGAGAGGGATGGAACGTGGAAGAGAGAGAGAGAGGAGAGGGATAGAATGGAAGAGAAAGAGAGAGGAGAAGGAAAGAGAAAGAGAGGGAGAAGGATAGGGAACGTGGAAGAGAGAGAGAGAGGGATAGAATGGGAAGAGAAAGAGAGAGGAGAGGATAGAACGTGGAAGAAAAGAGAGGCGAAGGATAGAACGTGGAAGAGAGAGAGAGAGAAGGATAGAACGTGGAAGAGAGAGGAGAAGGATAGAACGTGGAAGAAAAGAGAGAGGAGAGGGATAGAACGTGGAAGAGAAAGAGAGAGGAGAGGGATAGAACGTGGAAGAGAGAGAGAGATGAGAGGGATAGAACGGGAAGAGAGAGAGAGATGAGAGGGATAGAACGTGGAAGAGAAAGAGAGAGAGAGGATAGAACGTGGAGAAAGAGAGGAGAGGGATGGAACGTGGAAGAGAAAGAGAGAGGAGGATAGAGAAGGAAGAGAAGAGTGATAGAAGGAAGAGAGAGAGAGAGGGATAGAACGTGGAAGAGAGAGAGAGAGGAGAGGGATAGAACGTGGAAGAGAGAGAGAGGAGGGATGGAACGTGGAAGAGAGAGAGAGAGAGAGGGATAGAACGTAGAAGAGAAAGAGAGAGGAGAGGGATAGAACGTGGAAGAGAAAGAGAGAGGAGAAGGATAGAACGTGGAAGAGAAAGAGAGAGGAGAAGGATAGAACGTGGGAGAGAGAGGAGAGGAGAGGGATAGAATGTGGGAGAGAGAGAGAGGAGAGGGATAGAATGTGGGAGAGAGAGAGAGAGAGGAGGGGATAGAATGTGGAGGAGAGAGAGATGAGAATGAGGAGGGATAGAGAATGTGGAAGGGGAGAGATGAGAGGGATAGAACATGGAAGAGAAAGAGAGAGAGAGAGAGGAGAGGAGAGGGATAGAACGGGAAGAGAAAGAGAGGAGAAGGATAGAACGGGAAGAGAGAGAGAGGCGGGGATAGAAGAGAAGGAGAGAGGAGAGGGATGGGGAAGAGAGAGAGGAGGGGGAAGAAAAGAGAGAGAGAGGAGAGGGATGGGAACGTGGAAGAGAAAAGAGAGGAGAAGGATAGAACGTGGAAGAGAAAGAGAGGAGAGGATAGAACGTGGAAGAGAAAGAGAGAGGAGAAGGATGGAACGGGAGAGAGAGAGGAGGAGAGGGATAGGATGTGGGAGAGAGAGGAGAGGAGAATGTGGGAGAGGAGAGGGAGAATGTGGGAGAGAGAGAGAGAGAGGAGAGGGATGAATGTGGGAGAGAGAGAGAGAGGAGAGGGATAGAATGTGGGAGAGAGAGAGAGGAGAGGGATAGAATGTGGAAGGGAGAGGAGAGGGATAGAATGTGGAAGGGAGAGGAGAGGAAGAGAGAAAATGAGAGAAAGAAAACGTGAGAGTGAACTTGAGGGAGAGTGAGAATATGAGAGAGGTTGTAGAAAGTTGTAGAAAGTGAAAAAGTGAAAGGATTTACCTAACAAAAAACTGGGCTGTTTTTAATAAAAACATAAAAAAGTTCAACTCTTAACCATTAAAAAAAAAAAAAAAAAAAATCACTGCTCATTGTACAGCCTCCTTAGTTTTATATTTTGTAAATGCTGTTCTATTTTTGGATCCATTTGTACTTACTTTCTAATCCAACCAAACATGCAATATCTTGCCTAGGGATTGCATTGTGGCTGAAGTAGCAGCATATTTCCTACCAATGTCAGTTTTTTGCATTCAGGCCCAAGATTTCAAATATTTCTTTTCAATATAAACAAACTCCTCAGAATATTGGTACAATACAGTCTTTTCATTTTCCCTTCTTTGTTCTTGTGCTATATATGCATTTTATATATATGCATATTTGGACAATTTTTTTTTTTCATTTATACAAGTGTAATGAACCTATGAAAGTCAGTTAAATGACAGCACAAGATTTGAAGATTCATTACTTAACATTTTATACATAACAATATTTTGTCAGTTACTCTCGGCCAATGTGTGGGTGAAGCCACCAAAGCTCTTGTCTTATAAGTCAACCTTACATTCTGTCTGCAGTACTTGATAGACTACCCACTGCCCACCCCTTCCCTCAAGTTTGTTTATATACCCATCTGTCCAAAATTCTCATTCTCACGCTTCAAATACCAGATGCAGGTACAAGGTCACATACTTCAGTATTTGGTGGCCGAGAGCAACCCCCAAGTCGACACTGCATTTGCCTTCCTTTGACGTTCTGGTGTAAAATTTGAGTACATCATAATGCCATACAAATTTGGTTAAAGACCAATAAAAGTTCTTACAGAAGTTTTAATTTATCTTTTCAACCATTTTTCTTGGTATATATTGAAATATAAATTGTTCAATATTTTTTATATTTTCAGTTTTTGTATCAAATTCTCCAAGACCTCCTCCTTCATTACGTACCCTAGAAATTTCAATTATCTCTTTCAATTCTAAATATTATCTTCAATTCTATCTCCATTTTCCTTAAAACATGACTGTGACACACATGTTCAACACATGGTATTCTCAGCATCCTTCTGTAGAACCACATCTCTGTTGCTTCAATTCTCTTCTTCATATGTGAGAGAATTGTCCATTATTCACTGACATATTGGAAGACAGATGTTACATAATGGTTCAGCACCTTTTCTTGGTTTCTAATGAAACTTTCTTGTTTCTTAATACTTTCCTTAGCTTTTCAAAGACATCTTTCACTATTTCATTGTGTCTTTTTGAACTAATATCTTTTTTTTCAATAACACCATTTGAATCAGTACATTTTCCAACCCTCACTAGGTCTTTATTTCAACTAGTGTCCTTGTTTTTAGTGCTCTATTGCTTTCATCATTTCCAAATATTGCATCTTCATGAGTTTTATATACATGTGGATTGAACTTGCTAACAACTGCTCCAAAGTATGTCTATCAAGTATTTTTAAAACTTCTTAAGAGATTTTAATAAAGAGTTGGGTAGAAGGTAGACTTTAGATTTATATAAAAAAAAAACTCCCAAAAAGTTCCAAAATTTTCATCAAAATAATTTAAAGGTTGTTTTTTTTTTTTTGTCCAAAATTTCACTTATTTTATTTAAAACAAGGTGGATGATCTTTCCTGACATAAACACAAAAAAAAATAATAAATGTTGAAAGTGCTCAACTCTAGCGAAAAATGTTAATATGCAAATAAAAATGATCAATTTTAATGAAAAAAATTATATATTCATATTTTATAGATGTAACAAAAAAAACAAAAAAAAAAAACAATAAATGTAAATGATATCTTAAAAATCAGAAAATTCCTGATCACACTTGTCTGTTTTTTTTTGTTTTTTTTTTCTCCACTTTTGTTAATGTACACATTGGCATCTTATCAACACGAGGAAAGAAGATTGAATTTAGAGGAAGATTTTGATTAAAAAAATGTAGACAATAAATTTGCTCTGAATAATTTTTTCAAAAGTGAAGAAAAAAATGACATAATAAATAACCATTTCTTTTTGTAAAATCTTGACCTTCATTCAGTCTGGGTGGCTTTTTGCAAATAAATGATGAAGGAAAAGCAAGCTCAAATACTTTTATTCAGTGGAAAGTTTCTCTCAAAAGACAAAGTTGTAATTCAGTTTCACGACAGAGATTTTTAAAAAATTAAAGATTATTTCATGTCATACTTTTCAGCCTTCTGACAATTAAGGATTAACATTGAGGAAGTTCAGAAATAAATCTATTATTATTCCATAAATCTAGTGTTAATCCTCACTTGAATTTTTGACTAATCTGTTTGCCAACCATTTACAGGTTACTTATTTATTGTTTGGCTTCCCTCTATGCAACAACAGTTAATATTCATTTGGTAATGTTTAATTTCTGGCATGAGGAGTTATCATTATTTATACTGTTTATATTTGGATCATTGTCCTAAATCACATTTCAGCTGTTGTGCTCTCCAGCTTTCCTCGAGTGTATATCAATCTGAGTAACCTACAGGGGATTCTGAACTAAAGCCTTTAGTTAATCTACCTATTTATATTCAGACTGTTGTCCTCATCTTTGTTGTTGTCATCACAATGTTTTGGCTGTTGTGCTCTCCGGCCTTCCTCATGTGTATATTGATCTGAGTAACTTACAGGGAATTCTGAACTGAACCCTGTTCTCGTTTCACTGCTCATGTCTAGGGATTTTATCTAGTTCATATTTTTATTTAGAACTGTTCACTTAATGCTCATCTGTTTTAACTGAGTGCAGGCTAGTTAGGCTTAAAGCTCCAAGTTCCCTACAGTAAATGGCCTAGCAGATTAAAGCATTGTCTTGTGAATTTGGTAGAATAGTGATTGTGAGTTCAATCCCTGGATCAGGTAATGTGAACTTGAACTCAATGAAAACAGGCAAGCAAGAACTAAACAGTACTAAATAAAAAGTAAGAACTAGACAATATCCATAGAATGGAATCTAGAATCCCAGAAACAAAGACAAGGACAATAGTGTAAATAAGGGAAGGCTTAGTATATAATAAAACTATACTCATCATAGGTTTAAGTTGATATATATTGCAGTACAGTTGTCTGTAAAAATCTGCAGGAGAGAGTAGCCATTATTCATCAGTTGAAAATATTCTCTATGATGTCTCACTCTAGGATGTGGACAATCATGGCTCGCCACAACTTTTGTAGCTCTTGGTAATATTTGTTTGTATTGTTACTATCCATCTCAAGGTCTTTGTTGAAACAGTCATCATATTGTCATAACCTAGGGAAGGTTACTGGATAGAATAATCAAATGAAGGTTGGTAATGAATGATAATACTTAGGACAAGAACAACACATATTAGATTTGCCAGTGGTGTGTAGAAAAAGTAGACCACTGTTAGAAGTGAGTCAATTGAATTCCACAATGAATCTCCAACTGCAGACCAACATACAGTATTTACTACTGTATTTATGTGAATGGGAGTATACCCATTATCATCTGTAGGTATGCTACAACACATATAAAAGTTGAGGAACAAATGCTTGGATAATTTAACAGTCACAAGACACATCAAAGGGAAGAGAAACAAAAAAACGTTTCAAATAATCTACTTGACAAGTCAGAGTAAATAGATGGAGGAACGATTACCATAAAGAAAGAGGGAGAAAGTATTTCTGAAAGTAAAAAATGAAGGGAGATGTGGAGAGCCATAAATGCCCATGATCTGAATTGGCATAATGCAGAAAGAAAAAGGGACTGTATTTTGTATTTGGCCTCCAAAAAAAAAAAAAAAAAAAAATGATTAAAAATAGTTATTGACAATGGTAATATTAGCAGTTTTCTCATAAGCAACTTGTACTACTGTTGGTTGAAACTTATCAGATGTTTCTTTTCAAGGGAATAAATTTCTTAAGTCCAGTCACTGTTATTGCTCTTTCTAGTATTGATACAGTTTCCTTCATAACCTTTTGTTTGAAATAGTGTGAAACATTAACATCTTGATTATATCATTGTTTTCTTTTGGAGTTATATATGCTATCCATTTTAGCTGTTGTTGTTGCTTGTTAAAAGCCCTCAACTGATGTAGTTTCTATTGTTTGGCACAGTTCTTTGTGATCGTATAGCACCAGTCCATAAGGTTAAAAAAAGAGTGGTCTTCACTAAACTTACAAGCTTCATTTTCCTCAAGGCCATTTTTAATCATTGATTTCAGAATATAGTTGTATACAGCTAATAGTTTAGATATTTCTGAATGATTTTGGTGTCATGCATGACATCCATATAAAAGTTTCAATCTGACAAGGTTATTTAAGAATATGACTAATGTTTAGTTTAATGTCTTGGTTTTGTAGCAACTTGCAGTTTTGTGTGAAACTACTCCTAGCACAGCCTATTCTTTATTCAATTTCATCACCTACACTAAATTTCTTATAACTTATCTATACACTGAGATATTTGAATTGTTTGGTATTTATCAATTCCACATCGTAGATACAGAGTAGATGCAATCACTGCTTTCATTCCAATTCCAGATCATAATTTCTGTTTTGGAAAGGTTTATCTAGAGTCTTATTTCTTGGAACACTTGGTAGAGGATGTTGATTTTCTGTTCAAGATTATTCTTATGCCACCGACATAACCTCCACCTTATCTGTACACTGGCTACACGAGGGAAAGCAGGAATGTTGTTTCCAGTTTGTAAACAATGATTTCAGCTTCAGTTAGATTTTTTTTTGAATTGCAAATTTAATGTGAATAAGTCTGAAGCCCCAAACTGCTAAAAAAAAAAACAAAAAAAAACAAAAATTAAACTTATAATGATGACTCACCTTTTCATTTCATTCAATAAATATCTATATTCAATAATAAAGTATATTTATCAATATTAATATTTGCATAAGAGATTTGCCTAAACCAGACATTTGGTGGCTGTAAGAATTAAGTAGGCTTATTTATATGTTTTCACTGTAATTCTGTTTTTATAATCACAATAAGACACCAACGCAATATTTAGTGCAACTGTGCCCAGTTTGAATTAAATTTCTTTTCTTTTTTTTTTTTCACAAGTAATGAAAGACACCCCGTAGACTTCTAAACAGAGTAATAGGCAG